TTATTATTATTGGTTAAGAATGAAGTAATGTATTTGTATTATATTTTAAAATGTCTGTAACAACCCTGTATATAAGAAACCTAGATTAAAACAATGTTTTCTTGAATTCTGGACAAGAATCTTAACCCAATATCAGCAGAACATAAACTAACTTGTCATTTGTTTATGTTAATTAGTTTATGCTGCATTGAACGTGGTCTGTAAACATAATACTTAAAGTTGGAGACTCTCGTTTGTACACCGTACCAGCACAAGTAATCCTTTATAGCACTGTTGCCACTGCTGACACATGCAATGAGGAAGGTAAGATTATCTCAAAAAGTTCCATCAGATATTTCATATGGCTATATCAGTATTTATTTCGAAATTACATTTCACCGGCAGCCCAAGGTCTTGCTGCAGCCTGCATGACAAGCTTGGTTAGTGTGGCACAGGCTTGTTCTGGGATTCCAATTACAGAGCATCCTGGAAAACGGCTGGCATTTGTCTGTCTTTGTGTCTTCCATGCTGACATTCAGTTAGTTTATAGGGTGCTGCAATCTCTCGATCTACAATAATTTTTTTGTTTTCTCCTCCACGCTAAATGTTGGAATATAATTTCATCCATTTTCAAAACTGCTCATCCTTTTCAGGGTTGCAGCACACATTAGGTGAAAGATGGGGGTGTAGGGGGCATCTTTTGCAAATATTAACTGGATCACTGTACTATGTTCAACTGCTCATGTGTCCTCTCATTTTAAATTGCTAGATGTCCATTCAAAATGTTGATGGTGACGTAGCTTGTAAAATTGAAGTTTTAATACTAAATTGACCTCAGTTGCGTAATAATGAGAAGCCTCCAATGTACGGGGTGATGGTTGAATTATTTATGATTTTCTCTACAGCTAGCTTGCCTTCTCGTTATTGGGGCTGGAAATGAGTTTGCTGAAAACTAGCCAAAGTGAGATCTCCCCTCTCAGCTTACAGAACATGGCGCATTAAAGTGAATCACAGCAGACAGCTGGGGCCGCCCTTTATGGTAATGCACCCTCTACAATTACTGCTTCGACCTTCCCTGGTGAAGAAAAATGGGGAGATGTCCATTTAGCGGCCCTTTCAAACACTTAGTGGCAGACAAGTTAGGCAGCAGGATCACCTTTTGCCTGACATTGACTCTTGTTTAGAGGAGACAGAGAAGACATTAGAAAGGTGACAGGTTGACAGATGAGATAAATCTGTCAAACAGCAAGAAGACCAAGGCGCACCAATGCATCCGCACTGCCCTGTACCACACCTGTAGATGAAGCTGGTTGAGAATGATGGTGCCAACTACAGCTGCAACTAATGGTTGTATTCATTATAAATGAATATATCATTTACTTTCCAAAGTAATCAGTTGTTTATAAAATGACAACAAATCGTCAAGCCACACTCACACTGTAAGTGTAAAAAAAAAAAAAAATCAAAACCCGTTGGCCCCTGCAGACCACTCTGGTTATTGACAACTGTCAATAAAAATTATTTTGCAAGTTCAGAGGCAAGTAGAATTTTGTTTGCTAGCAATAACACAAATAAGGCAGAAATGTGCTGCCTTGAACATCTGGGAGCAGTTGATCAGATATATCTTAGTGGGCTTAGTTGATGTAACAGGGAAAGTTAAGACAGGTCAAGTGTTCACTGACCTGCCAGCTCTAGTTATTTCTCACATTTAACGGTCCTCGATACAGAGACAACAGCTAGATATCAGTGTTCTCTGGAATCTGGCAAGGTGGAGTCTTACAAGAATGAAAGAACTTACTGGCTCCACAGATTAGGGTACAACTCATCGATAATAAAAGATTCCAATATGACGTAGCATTGGAGAATAAAAATCTGATAGATTTGTTGTTTTAGGTTAAGGCCAGCTAAAGGCGGCCTAATAGGGAAACCTACAGGCACTAGGGATAAGAGAGAAACACAAAAGGGACCAAAAGATGTTATCCTTCAGTTTTGGTGTTGGCATTTGATGTGTTCACATGTTCACTACTCAACTGGGCTCAATAAATAGTAATTAGCTAAATGTATCATCCAAAGCTTCATAAAAACCTTTCACAAGGCTTGTGGTTGCACCTCATGAGCAACTAAAGGAATTTTGTCCATTCCACAAAAGTTCATCAAACCAGGCTGCAAGTAAGATGAAATCACAGCAGAACATTAAGTACCTACTACTACTGATGTTAAAGGGCATTTACATTAACAAAGATGCTCAAAAGCACAAAACCTTCACTCAAATCTATATTTCAGACTATATATATAGCACAAAACCTCTTGTATCATCACCTGAAACATATTTATTCCAACTACACTGCAGCTGTTACGAACTGATACAGAACTTGCTTTGACAAGACAAGGTGTACAGGTGCTGGTCATATAATTAGAATATCATAAATAAGTTGATTTTTTTCAGTAAGTCCATTCAAAAAGTGAAACTTGGATATTATATTCATTCATTCCACACAGACTGATATATTTCAAATGTTTATTTCATTTAATTGTGATTAAAACTGACAACTAATGATAATCCTAAATTCAGTATCCATGAAAATTAGAATATTACTTAAGACCAATACAAAAAAAAGGATTTTTAGAAATGTTGGCCAACTGAAGTATGAACATGAAAAGTATGAGCATGTACAGCACTCAATACTTAGTTGGGTCTCCTTTTGCCTGAATTACCGCAGCAATGCAGCGTGGCATGGAGTCGATCAGTCTGTGGCACTGCTCGGGTGTTATGAGAGCCCAGGTTGCTCTGATAGTGGCCCTCAGCTCTTCTGGGTCTGGCGTATCGCATCTTCCTCTTCACAATATCCCATAGATTTTCTATAGGGTTAAGGTCCGGCGAGTTTGCTGGCCAATTAAGAACAGGGATACCATGGTCCTTAAACCAGGTACTGGTAGCTTTGGCACTGTGTGCAGGTGCCAAGTCCTGTTGGAAAGTGAAATCTGCATCTCCATAAAGTTGGTCAGCAGCAGGAAGCATGAAGTGCTCTAAAACTTCCTGGTAGACGGCTGCGTTGACCTTGGACCTCAGAAAACACAGTGGACCAACACCAGCAGATGACATGGCACCCCAAACCATCACTGACTGTGGAAACTTTACACTGGACTTCAAGCAACGTGGATTCTCTGCCTCTCCTCTCTTCCTCCAGACTCTGGGACCTTGATTTCCAAAGGAAATGCAAAATTTACTTTCATCAGAGAACATAACTTTGGACCACTCAGCAGCAGTCCAGTCCTTTTTGTCTTTAGCCCAGGTGAGACGCTTCTGACGCTGTGTCTTGTTCAAGAGTGGCTTGACACAAGGAATGCGACAGCTGAAACCCATGTCTTGCATACGTCTGTGCGTGGTGGTTCTTGAAGCACTGACTCCAGCTACAGTCCACTCTTTATGAATGTCCCCCACATTTTTTAATGGGTTTTGTTTCACAATCCTCTCCAGGGTGCACTTATCCCTATTGCTTGTACACTTTTTTCTACCACATCTTTTCCTTCCGTTCACCTCTATTAATGTGCTTGGACACAGAGCTCTGTGAACAGCCAGCCTCTTTAGCAATGACCTTTTGTGTCTTGCTCTCCTTGTGCAAGGTGTCAATGGTCATCTTTTGGACAGCTGTCAAGTCAGCAGTCTTCCCCATGATTGTGTAGCCTACAGAACGAGACCGAGAGACCATTTAAAGGCCTTTGCAGGTGTTTTGAGTTAATTAGCTGATTAGAGTGTGGCACCAGGTGTCAATATTCTAATTTTCTGAGCTACTGATTTTAGGATTTTCATTAGTTGTCAGTTATAATCATCAAAATTAAAAGGAATGAACACTTGAAATATATCAGTCTGTGTGTTTCACTTTTTGAATGGATCAACTTTTTGATGATATTCTAATTATATGACCAGCACCTGTACATATAGAATATCCTTTGAAGCTTCAGGTAAAACCATTGTTGAGGTCTTATTTATTACCCACACCACCACTACTCATACTAAAGTTGAAGACACTATTTTTCACATACAAGACCAGGTCAATACATAATTGAGGATTCTCCTTTTATCTATATGATATTGAGGTGTTAGGCGTCAAGTTTGGTCATGGCTCACACATGTTACAATACAACACATTACTCTGGCATGAAACAATCTCCAATCTCTACAAACTACATTTTGGCATTGTGGCTGGTGAATTCCACAGTGAGACTTGACCACCCAGTGTTTAAGAAGTACCTGGTTAAGTGAGACCAGAGGAGACCACAAAAATAAATGTTTGCACAAGGCTTGTTCTAATTGGCAATTGAATCAGCTATCGATGATTGAAGGGATGATCAGTGATTGGTTTTTCATGCGTCGATATTAAGGCAAATTCTAGAATCTGCACCCCACTGTAGTGTTTCCCCATTCACCGATTTATTTGTGGCGACACGACAATACTCAATATCAACACTGACCGCCCCATATACTATTAAATAGTAGTAAAATCAGAATTCATTGCGGAGCTACCCGCAGCTGTCTCTCTCACAAATGGAAACAGAGCTGTGTGTTTATAGAAAAACGCATTCAAGTTAAAGAAGAAGATAGACTAACTTCTGTCTATTCTATCTATTTTCTTAACACAACGCTGTCAATGCCGGAAATAAGTCATAAGCAAGCATGTAAGGAGCCTAGCTAATAAGTATAGCTATGTTAATGTTAGAATACAGCTCGGTTGTTGAGGTTAGTACGCTGAACATAGCTGCTGTTCAATATCGATGCACCTCTAATGGGTTTCCTAGTGTACAGCTTTTTGTTAAAGATGCTCTTTTTATCTGGTGTTTTCTGTTGCTTTCTATGAAAACAATAAATACATGAATCCTTTACACCATGGGTAGTCCAACAGATCCTACAGCTATGTGGTTAAGCTATGTTGTGGCCGTCTTATACCCAACATGTATGACGTACAGCCCTGGTTGTATACATTGCATGTCAGGGAAGGCAGGAATGAGAAATGGAAACTCACCCTTTATCCTCAAGCTCTCGGGAATCCCATCCTAAGGGAACAAGAACAAAAGGGAAAATAGATCACAATTACAATAAACCAATACTTAATTGACAGAAAGCAAAAGTCCTTGGTGATGTACTAAAGAAATGTAGTTTTAAAGACCCCTCATACATTAAGCAACTCTCTTTGCAAACGGCTCTGCGTTTAATTGAGATAATGTGTCAAGACATGGCGTTCAAGTCCAAGGATTCTTCACTCTGGCACATCTGATACAATGTAGTGCTGCCAGTTTGAATGACAATTAATGATATAATTGATATGTCAGACATTAATGTGCCATTACATTAAGTGATGATTTGCCTCACTTACATGCACGATATACCTTTCAACTGGTTACCATCCTCACATCTCCTATAGTTTAATTTTGTGCATAAAATACATTTTCCATCCATCTTTCTTTCTTTGATTAAATGTCCATATGCCTTTTGAGTTGTCTTGACAAATTAGAAGTTCAAACTTTTCCTGATTCACAGCAAACCAAAATATAACTTAGCTGACAAAAAAGAAATGTAAGTGTCCTCACTGTAGTGTAGAGAAATATAAATAGTTATGACCCCTTGAGTAGGTACACTATAAAATCAGCTGCATTTAGAGCATGCATAGTGGTTGTAGAAAACGCTGTTATCAGGACTACTATTCTGAGTAGCAGCTCTCCACAAACCATGAATACGAAAGAAAGAGGCATAAATATTTGATTTCTCTACAGTGAAATCTGCATAGCTCATCCTTCTCATTCTTGTACAAAATATTCAGACTCTTTCTACCAGCTCGAGCACTGGTGTTATGGAGAAGATGCCTTATGCAACAGGTCCACAGTCCATAATGAACAGAGGTCCCTGACTGCATACTGAAAGTAGAAGAATACCCAGTTCGTGGTTTTGCACAGAAAACCTGTATACTGTATATTTTCTTGCTAAAATATGATTCTAAGTCAATAAATCAAGGATCTGAGGATGGATAATTGTATCCAAAAGATCTCACTGGTTAAAAAATAATTTTGACCGCATGAATAATTCAGCTCACTTTACTTTTTTGGTTACTACATTCTGTATCATTGCACTATACTATCTGTGTCATTTTCTGTATTAGGTCAGTCTTTTACTTTAATTAAGACTGTACCGAGTCTGCACACTCACATTATTAACTGCTGTTGCTGTTGAGACCCTTATCAGAGGAAATAACACCCACATAAGCGATACCATATTTTTAACAAGTTGAATGTAGAGGTTTCCTGTGTCAACCCGGCAGCTGTTAAATACAACTGTTGCAGCTGAAAGGTGACAATATACTACCATGTCAATTATACACTTCCTCTTACAAAATCATCACAAACAAGTTAAACTCATAAAAAGACAACTGGCAAGAAAACACATTTTGGTTAATACTGTAGAGCTACAACTAACAATTATTTTATTGATTACTTTCTCAATATCTCTTGGAATAATTGATTGATCAGACCAAAAAAAGAGCAAAAAGGTAACGTCTTAATTGCAAATATTTCTGATCACCAGTCCAAAACGCAAAGATATTGAAATATAGAATACAATAATTTACTTTAAGAGATTGTGGTAAATTGTTTTTAATTAGATTTCTGTCAATCAGCTCATCAATTAATACCCTGTCCTTGCTGCGCTACAATGAGTACAAAAAATTTTAATAGTTGTATACTGGAATCAAACTTAGGTCCAGTCACAACTACATAGCATTTGTCTGGAAATATTCCCTCAAGTGTAAAGGGACCATGGTAGTTACCGAGCTGTCTTATCAACTTACTCTTTTTGTTCTGATTTAAAAGGAAGTTGAAATAAAGTTCAGATGACACTATGAAACTGTAAATTTGAAGGATAACTTAAACATCATTATCTGGTAAAAAGCTGTCTCTGCACATCTTCTTGATGTTTTATAAAACATTGTTGACCAACGACCCAGCAGGTACAAATCACAGAAAACACCTGTGGCTCTCTGACATTCTTCATATTCCCCCCACCCTCTGGATGAGGTGACATTTAAAATTACACTACAGGTAGGGAAGATATCAAATGGGGCTTATTTGCATATGGCAGACAGTGTTCACACTTCATTTGTTTAAAGAGAGTGACTTCCCCAGGGCCGCTGGCAGGCCTGTCTCTGCTGCCCTGAGACTCTGGGGACGGTGAAGCACCCAGCTGTACAACCCGTGGTTCATCTGCCCCTGTCACAGCTAGTTGGCTGGCCGCCCACATCTCTCTCTCGCGCGCTTTATCTCTCAGCCCCTCTCCCTCCACTTACAGCACCCTCCTCCTTTTCCTCTCTCTCCTGCTTCAGATTTTACATCCTTGACTCTGCACACCATCAACTTCCAAGAACACTTCAACTTGTACCATATAACTGCAAACTGCATCACACCTATATGACAAGTGAGTAAAATATACAGTACAACACACTCTATCTATCTATCTTTTAGCCCTAGTTCACACCAATGGCAGGTGCTGGGTGAAAAACAACACAGCTCGCTCAGTTACTTCAGCGTGACCACTGCCTTGGGACAGCAGAGGTGCTGATGCAGCAGGGTCTGGAATAGTGTTGAACATGACTTAACTTTTGCTGCAGCCAATACAACCTAATCTGGCAAAAAAATTAGTAATCCTCACAGATTACTTTGTAATGTGAATACTGTAACTCTGCTGTTTACCTTGCAATCATTAAAAAATTCTGACAAGTCTTCAAACTCAAAGTCATCATCAGACAGACCGTAGAGTTAAAAATATTGCATCAATTAAAAAATTTCAGGATAACACCAGCATGGACATTGACATCTTGTTATTGTTATAGCAGATTGGCTCCATATAGCGTCTGCTTCTTTAGCCCCTGTGGAGGCTTCACAGAAGCTGGTTACCTAAGCCTCAGGCTGGCTGCCATTTGAAAGTAGACAGCTCATCAAGATGAGTGACAAGGGCTGGGGCTAAAACTGACCAGCTGAGGAGGAGGAGGAGGGTGGAAATAATACTGACAGCAGTCACATTTAAGCCAAACACTGCCTATTGCGGCTTTAACTTGCGGCTTTAGCTACTGTACATCAAGCTGTTTCTTGTGAATTTTATGATATATTCTTGCTATTTTCCCCATTCCCTTTAGCTGAATCTCTTTTGCCCACCACACCCTTTCTCTCTCTGTCTCCGCTTATCCCCTGTTAATCTAGATTTGCCATGTGGCCAAGCCAGTGCTGGATGGATGGGGCTTTGCACACAGTTGTCCTTGCCTCCATTTTGTTTATCATGACATAACAGCTTGATGTCAGATCGACAAACGCTCAGAAATTGCTTTTGTCCCTTGTGTCGAGCAAGCCTGGCCACTATTCCACATGTTTCATGAATTACACATTGTGTCTCTCGTCACTCTTACAGTGAAATTCATTGTGAAAGAGATGACTGTATGAAGTAAAACAGCCAAGTAACTCAGTTGCTTTGAACAGTTTTCCAATTATAATCAATTGTAATTAGAGCTGGATTCTGGTGGCCAGAATCTGTGTCCTATACCTGACCCCATGTGTAGGATTTCACAGTGACTGTCTGAAACAATAGCATGGGAATTATGGGTAGAGCATGTGACTAGCTGTTTATGGCGGAGTGCCTCCTGGTGATTGAAGTCTTTGTGAGGAAAGCTTATAAAAGGTCGTATTCGATCCGGTTACCCTTGTCAAATGCTGTCCTTCAAAGCAAAGGAAAAGGCATAGCATTAACATGACCACTGGTGTATCACAGCTTCTGATGGTGAGCTCAAAGGATGTTCAGTACTCATTTCCCTCAATGTGCAGAGGGGGAACTTTAAGCAATTATGCCGTTCAGAAAATTATCAGTTTTTTTGTACTCACATTCCATTAATGTTGAACACGAGAGGAATTTAATTAAAAATGTGATACAACCTAGATTTAAAAAACATTTTTAACTAGGAACCTTGACTACCTACTAACCTTTAAAAATAACAAAACATTCAAATTTTGAGCTGTCAAACATGTTCTGAAATGTCTGTGGATCTCTCATTTTGAAACAACTGTTCTTTAACGCTGCTCACTCAATTTTATTGACAAGTGGATGACCTGAACCTCTGCAATCCAGCCAACAGCGGAGAAAAGTCCCTACGAAACATAAAGGCTGTTGACATATTTTGAAAAAGGGCTTACAATGTGGCCATTTTTCACCCAAGAGTTCTATATTTTCACAGCCTCTTTTGACAAGCAGATAGATGAGCGTAGTTTACCTCTGTCCTCTCACAGGATGAATTGTAATGGTATGCAGATGCTGTAATGACATTCCTCTGCAATGTAATCACAGCGCCTGGCACATTAATTTCATTGGAGTGGAAAAGCACATACATCATTTTTGTAGCTTCTTGTCAAATTCCCACTACATGTGGACATACATTACTTTAATTATTAAGTCACTCGGGTTCCAAACCAGGGCAATAAAAAGAGAGAAAGTCAAAACTAGTTAGTTTCAAAAATAAGTAATATACTGTTTGATACAAAAGACGGTAAAACACTATTTAAACCACCTTTAAAATGTACTGTTTGTTCAACTACTTCGAGAACATAGCTTCAATCAAAGAGAGAAGAAAAACTGGTTATAATTGAAGTTATACACTAAATGGCAACTTTTTAGGCCATTTACCCTTAGCATGAAATTGCATCATGGGTGATCGGATTGCAATAGGATGTTGCTTAAACTCATGAAAGTGAAAATGTGCACCAAAGACATACGGAGAATGGATTGTGATCCGATCAACCAAACACATCCGGAAGTGGTCTAAGATGCTTTGTGGCCACATTGAACGCAGGTGTAAATGCAAATGCATTGACAATCCACATATACGTGGGTGTAAGTCTTACGCAAACAAAATCAAAAGTTTGACGCCACACACAGGCAACGCGTCCGTAAAGTGTTGTCGCTTAAAGAGCGCTGATAATTGAATATCTTCTTAATAAAAGGTGAGCGGTGAATTAATGTATCCGTTAATGAATGGGAACTCACGCACTCAATATAAACTACTAAAATATAAAGGAGTGCACATTATGAAGAAAGGTAGCACAGGGAAACTATCCCAGGTTAAATTTCACATTCCGGGTGAGATATTGCATCAGTGCACTGCTGAAGAGAGAAAAAAAAACACGGACTTATTATCCATGGAGGAAAACTGTGGATAGCGAGCTCAGAAAGTTATTATACAGTCTACAGTTATACAGCATTTTGTGGACTCACAAACTAGGGGAGGATGTGATGTTCGGTTGTTTGAGAGGGACAGAGCATTCGGATCTCAATGTGGATTATAGAAACACATTAAGACCAGGTGTAAACGTTATCAGGTTAAAATCTTATCCAGATACAATCCTAATACGAGAGGCATTTCAATGGCAGGTGTAAATTCACTTTGTTATGTACATAAAGTCTACTTTAATGATGATAATTAATTCATCAGTCCATCATTCCATTAAGTATAATTTAACACTGAGGTCAGGGAACTGCCAATGTACGATGCCCTCGTCCATCGCCGATGGCTGACAGTTATCACAATGTTGAGCCGGCATCATGATTGTACCCCTGCGCTCCTTGTGTGCAGAAAGAAAGAAAACTTAATTTTACCACAAGCAGGTTTAATCTCCACGGACATTTTTATTATTAGCCTTTTATTATTTTTAAATACACACTTCACCTCTGGACTCTCACTGCAAACACACCGGCTTGCCCCACCTCTCTCCGTCTCTGCTTCTCTTGCTTTCGCCACCAGCAGTATGTTTAATAAAGTCACCCAAAAGACACAGAACTCGTCTTTTGTCCGGAGTTTTCCACTCGTGATCCGTTATCACGGCAGCAGGTGCGCCGCATGCCGCCTTAATAGGACGTAACAATTAAAGCTGTATATTGTAAACTTTGAAAAAGGTAACATTTATGGCAGAGTTGCTTTATTGCATTAGATTGTACAGGTGTACCTAATAAAGTAGTCAATGAGCATATTGTTGTCTCTGCTGCTCAAAAGATTGAAAAATTACATTTGGAAACTTAAAAGCAATAGGTCTTTCTAAAGACAAGGTCAAGGTAACGCCACTCATAATTCACAAACCTCCCAGAGACCTAAAAAATAACTTGATATTTTTTGTTAGTTTGTTTTGTGATGGGTAGAGCTTTCTTTATGGAACTGTGTGATCTGAAATCCAGGATGAGTGGAATGTGGTACAAAGAATTGACAAAACAATGCCACATTATTGTTTTTTAACCATATCTCTACAGTGTTTCCCCTAGGATGGTTATAGGTTATAGCTGCGGAGTTGAAGCAAAATTTTTGTCCATGAGCATGCGATGCACATCAGAATAGTTTCAAACTTCAGTGTTTTCCCAGTTTAATGTGAGCTTTAGCTGAATGTTTTGGTGTTGGTGGTCATGGTCAGAGTGGTGGGGTTTTGGGGGTCCTCCCAAGACAATTTTACATTTTCCAATGCCAAATATGTAATTTCACATTGGGCCATTATTTTTACCATATGTCTGAACAGAAAGATGGGAAAGTTAGAGCAGATAATAAATAACCAACAGCAAAAAAATCAGTGTACTGGGGAGGATGTTGAAGCTTTCCCGCTCAGCTCAGTCTGAAGGGGAAGAGGGATGTTAGCTAACTTAGCGCCAACAGGCTTCATTTTTCCAGCAGGTGGGGAAACAACAGACTTTTCTTGGTCTTGAGAAGCCGACACGCTGTAACCGACACAGTACATTTACTGCCAGAATATTTTCCTCTGCTCGCTTTCACGTCACTTTCTGCCACTCAAACAAACAATCAAACACTCGCTACGCACCTCCTGATTCCTTACAGGAGTTACGCTGTTATAACAGCATCTGTCACGTAGATGTTTTGTACAGAACGAGGGGAGGAAGCTAGCCGCATTGAGTGTTGCCGTGCTCCCACAGTGTGCGAGTGAAAACATTTGTAGCGCATAGTTTAATTATCGTGGGAAATTTTAGTAGTGGCAGTCATGACTGTTGAATCATAACCGCCGCATATAGGGGAAACACTGCTCTATGTACAATATTGTGAGCGAGCTTTTTGTCCGACCTTTTTAACACCCATAGGTGCCTATAGTCAATGAAACGATACAGTACTGTGCAAATGTTTTAGGCAGACATGGAAATGATGCTGTAAAGTAAGAACACGAGATCGATTATATCAAACAAAATATATAAGTGAACGGAAGAAAAACCTAAGTCACATCAATATTTGGTTCAGTTCTTCTTAGTACACTTGCACATAGTTTTTGAAGGAACTCAGTAGGTGGGTTGGCCCAAACATCTTGGATAACTCAGAAGTTTTATATAATACTCACAGGTAAGATTTCGATTTATTTTACAGTGGTATCCATTTCAAACTGACCACAGTTCAGAGTTACCAAGTTTACTAAGAAAGTGGAGTATAACTTCTTTTGTTCATTCACAAAGTTTATAAATGAGGCCCCTAGTCCTTTACGACTAAAATCCAACCTTGTCCAAGCAGAGGTGGATATTGGATTGTTTGCCTCTCTTCCTCCCAGCCTCCCAGCCCAGCAGAAGTGCCATCTCTGCAGTTTACTGAGATCATATTACAGTATTTTTGGGTATTGATGTTTAAATCTCTTTACTTCCTTAACACACAAAATTTCATTTCCAGTGTAGCTGTGGCTAGAACTCTAGCAGAACTCTTGTATTGTTGACATCTGCAGTCCACGTGTTACGAAAGCTTCTCTCTGAATAAATCTTGTTCAAAAGGTCAAAATGCGTTTGTCGACTGAACAGCTTTGCAACGCTCCCGGCGCCTCGCTCAGCTCTGATTCTGTCCAATGACGTTCCCACCATCTGTTCCCTCTGTATCTCCTTCTTTCTCTAACCATCTCTCACCCCACACACCCTTAAGTACCACTGTCTTTGCCATTTACTCCCATACAGACATGACTAAAGCAAACTGAAACAAACTTTAAAACGCACTCTGTCATTGTCTGTCTGAAGATGACAGATTGCCTTGAAGTAAAAGCAAACATACAACCATTTTGTCTTTATTGTCACTACAAATTTTTATCTTGGATTGGGAAGTGTTTACTAGTAAACAGAATTGGAAAGGGGGCTTACAGGAAATGTGTACTGAAGGACCACAATCCAACTAATGCTTTTTGACAAAACACTGTCCTTTCCCTAAGTCCTTGTCTGCCAAAACAGTAAATTTCTTTCACAGTCTGGTTCTAATTGATACATCTCTGGTACTCTGGTGTTTTGGATTCGAATTAGAGAAAAAACAAAGTATGCTGCTAGTTCAGAGGGGGAAAAATTAAGTTATTCCTTGACACGCAGCAAGAGGGATTAATAAAAGCAGCAGATTCTGCTTGTGGGCATGCCCTGTACTGCTGGGTCAATAAACATTAAAAGGTATCTTTTCACTTTAAACGTTCAACTGAATTGACATGCAAACATCCTCACTTCATTCAGAGATCGTCGTCTTCTTTGCTCAGCTGTGCCTCGTATTAATTTGATGTTGTCTTTGAAAAGACAGTCCCCTGGCACAAAGGGAGGGATAATGATTCATCAAGTATTTTTCAGTAGGCAGAAAAACAACAACAACCACCGGAGAGTCATCTGATGCAGGGAAAAAAGTGCTACTGTAATTAGTTTCATACTTGGCAAAAGCACATAGTCCTCCTTGTTACAGACAGCAAATGAAAAAAGAAGGCAATCAATACCTTGTGTCGGAATCTCACGACTGGTCGATAGGGTGGCGGCCTGAATCCCTCCTTGTTGGGTCTCCCATCGGCACCGAGCACAGCGAGCCCCAACAGTAAAATTGCCACTGACCACCATCTGGCTGTCTTCATTGGTCTTTTCCTGTCAAAAACCAAACAAGAATAGTGAGGGCTCTTCTCCAACACGGGAGATTCAATACCGGTTGCTCAAGACAATACATCAAGTCCGCCGTAATTAGTGTAGACAATGGGAACCGCAAAACTGTTGCTGGTTTAAACCAAAGCTATCAATACATGCCTTACACAAGGAGATTAGATCTCCATTTGAATCAATTAAGGGGAAATAGACATCATGAGAAAATCAAGATAAAGAAGACAAAGAGCCAATATATTAAGGCGATTAAAGTGAGGGCTTTGGATTAATTAGGCTGAGTGTCTAAGTCAAGCAACTGTAATGTGGCGGGGAGATTAAATCTTAAACAGTTTCCTTACATCCTCATAGAGATGCAGCCCAAATATATTTATCTAACGGAGTGAGAATATTCACTTTTCACCTCCAACATAACAGCATTTTCAATAATTCATTGCGCTGTATAAAAACGAGTTTGACCTTTGCATGACATGAATTAAACAAAACAGTGTTTGTGGGGGAGAAAAAAAAACATGCCCTGTGAAAATGTCTGTGTCCCAGAAACAGCAGTGTTCAAGGAAGAAAAATGCAAGAAATACACAGAGGATATGTTTTAGCCATTGCTCTCATACTGCCACAAGTTTACCACACACACACACAAACACATTCTATAAGCATCATGTTAAAATCTTCAATGCGTTTGTTCCTTCTTATTTTTATCCCTCGTCTTTATCTGCATTTATACCCTGGTTCTTCGTGCAGCACACTGCAAAAATCCCCTGTGTTAGAAGTACTTTATAAATATATTTGACTCGACTTGTTGATTTTCACAGGCAAACACTTCACTGCCTGCTCATCATCCTCCAGCAGAGGAAGATGACTGACAGCAGGATGGTGACCCTGCTTCCTTGTTCTTCTGGAGTGACACTGTGTCAGACATCAATGGCACGGTTGTGGCAGCTCTGTGGGCCCACATGCTAGTCACTGGAGGTCAGGAGGTTGTGCCGGCAGAGCGGCATGTCACTGTGATGCCGGACAAAGAGGAAACATTGAAACTTTATTTTCAGGACATAGTGACTTTCACTCCCTTCCTGAGCTGTCTGACACCTACAGACAGTATATTCTGCTTTGCCGCCATCTTTGGCGTTACGGGCTTTCCCCATAGAGTTGTATTGAGGATTTGTAAAGTGGCGTGTCTCCTCTATATTAGGGCTGCAACTAACTATGAATTGCAAAATTACACAATGCCTCTCATTTAACTATCAGCTTTTAAATTAAACTTGAGGTTGTTTAAGACATGTGCTAATTAACAGTCTAGACAATAAAATGAATACTGTTTTCAAAAATATCTTTTAATGAATGTTTCTGTTGCAGCAACAGAAAGTTCCGCTGAAATCAAGTCCTTTCATGGACCAGACAGGTATATAGTAAGGAATAAGTGTCTGTGTAGCGCTGTGCAGCACTCATCAGAACAGCTGATCTGTTGCCTAGTGATGGAGAAGCTGCAACACACCAGGACAAACTGACACTATTTTAATATACAAAGAAATGGATAACACCATGCACACATTTGCTGAAATTACAAGAGGGGACCAATAATAACAATTTTGTAGTAGACAGCGTTTCACAACATTTATTTAGTTTCCCCTAACTCAGTAACTCACAAAACTTTTAAGAGAGTCTGGGGTGGATTAGCCGCCACCTCACTCATAGACAGGAAAACTGTTTTATTTATTTTTTATCTTTAGAAAGTAACTTATAAACATGTCCAGTGTTGTCCAATATTGTGCCCTCGGCAGCAACACGTTGTCCAGCTGTAAACATCGCCATCAGCGATGCATTGTTAATGATTGTAAAGTTAGAGCACACCTGCAATGTTAGACAGGACCATTATGTATCATAATTATTTTCCACTCTCAACACCATTAACAAATTGACCAAGGGAAACCTTAAAGAAAACGGTACAGCTCATAACGCAAAGTAACATAACATGAAGCTAACGTTAGCTTGCTAACTAGCTTACCAAGACAAGTCTTCATCATCCACAGAGGTTACATGTCTCCTCTTCAGATGCTCCGTTGTTGAGATGCTGCAGTTCACAACCTTTTGGCTGAGTGAAGCCAGAGTGCTCCCACACTCTGCAGATTTTAGGTTGTGAAGGTGTTACTACCAACGCTGATGTTATGTTGTTTTAGTAACTTTACTGTTGTTTACATCACTTTACTCCGTTAAGCTGACAGTGTCGTTACGGCCCGATTAAATTCGTTGCCAATTTAATAATCTATTTTTGTCGACTGCGTCGATTAGTTCTTGCATCCCTATTCTATATAACGTCTCTGATATGATTCATGCTGATGGAAGTAAAAACATTCATATAAAAGAACAGATAACAGCTGGGGTGAGGATATAATCATCTGCCAGATTCAAGAACCCAATTGCTAGACCTTTAGAGATGTTGGCATTTGAAAATCTATGAGAAAGCCTTGATAGAATGTCCTCCTACACATATTAAACCGAAACAAACTAATTAATTAGAGCATATATTCAAAAGAAATACCTTGTTTCTACAAAGAAACAAGAAAAAGAGGGTTTTTTAAAAAGTGAAACTTACATGCAACATACTGTCAGTGTAGTAAGTAGGGGGCACTGAAAATGTCTTGATTATCCAGTCGGCAGAGAGCTTTTATTCCACAGTATGAGTCCAGAAATTCAAAAGATTTCTGAACCTGGCAAAGTAATTGTTAAACCACTGGTAATGATCAACAGCCTTACCAACCCCCTGCAGATATAGTGCAGTCGTTTCATGCCATGAGGCACTAAAAATCTTACTTACTGCCTCTTTAATGTGATCATATTCATTCTCTATGTATTTCTAAACTCTCCAGGTCCAGGTAGGAACCCTGCCTGCAGCTGCTGGTGCTCCACTTCTCTGCCAACACAGTATTTTAGCCAGACTAGGTGGATTACCATATCTGCTAGCACAATCAATCAACTTCTTTGCGGCATCCCAGTGTTAAATGGGTTATTAATGGACTAACTTTTGCAGCATGCTGTGTCAAAGACAGAGACATATGCACAGTTTTAATGCAGTTTTATGCATAGTTCCTCGCATTTAAGTCATTATTATCAGTCACAACAGGTGGTGATGGCGCAATGGATAAGATAAGTGCGGGTGTGAGAGACCCGAGTTCAATCCCCCACTGTTACCATCCACCAATGCGTCCCTGAGCAAGACACTTAACCCCTATTTGCTCCAGAGACCTCTGAGATATATAGCAATTGTAGGTCGCTGGATAAAAACGTCAACTAAATGAAGAAATGTAAATGTAAACAACTGCAACATACCGGTATACAGATAACTTTGAAGTTCTACTTCTACAGACTACTGAATCATTAGTAATCTTACTGGGAGCTACAAACACACACTGCCAAATATGCTGTCTATTTTATTAAAAGAGCAAAGTCCCTAAGAGAACAAAAGCTATCCTTACTGTGGATTGAACAATGCCCATTTAAATTGCTCCTGTTCCACACTATACTGCACAAAGAGTTTTTTTGGCCTTTGGTGAGTTAATTTTCTTGTCATTGAGTCTACTTTCTTTTCATCTTATGCACCATTATTATTAATAGAGCTGTGGCACAATGACAAACAACACAAAGGAAAGGAAGCAAAATTAAAGGAAAAACTTGCACAAAAGTAAAACTGTCATTGCAAATGTCACTAATAGCAAACACTAAATTAATAGTGCTTTTAAATTTCATTACAGACATCTTATATTTTGTCCATCCGATTTATATCAATGAGTAAAATAAATAATATAAACATCTCTAAGTAGAACACAAAACAATTCAACAGCCCCGCCAAATAAAGCTTCAAAAATGACAAAGTTAAATCAGCTTGTCTCTAAAAATTTACAGTATAACTTTGTGAATGTAGGATTTATTGCAGAGCCATTATATTACACTGCATTAGTTTTAGCTACATGTACCTAATACCTTCAGTTTCCAGTTTTTTTATTTTTTAACATGTTCACCCAAACTGAAGCTTCCATCGATTCCATCTATTCAGAATGTGTCAATAAAGATTTGGCATTAACAGCCTGACCCGTGGATTCCAGAGACATGCTAGTGATTCCACCAAGCATTTCAAAAGCGGCCCTCTACTCTGTGGAAAACACGCATTTCAAGTAGGATTGGGCGATGTCTACAAAACCTCCATCGGACGATGTCTACAATTGGGATGGACGTTATCGCGAGGGTGCCTGCACGCGGGGGGGGGGGGGGGGGGGGGGGGGGGGGGCGGCGGCATCAGTCATCTTATGTGCATGTGTTCTCGCACAGACTTCACTTGGTAAAAAAAATTCATAAACTATTAACTTATATTACAAGTCGTGGTGGATTTTTTACAGACCAGGTAAAGCAGCACTGAACACAGGGTGCAGATGGATGTTGGTTTCAGTTGTTTGATAGGCTCCTTCATTAATAAGCCAACGTGCGGCTCACCTGCTGCCGTGATAATGGATCGCGGGTGGAAATATACGGAAAAAGACGAGTTCTCAGTCTTTTAGGCGACTTTATAAAACATGCTGCTGATAGACTATGGATGGCATCGTCTATCTGCCTAACCCTAATTTCAAGCTGCACAGAGCAGATTGAACCAGGCAGAAAGTCAGACACATAAACAGGCATAGCAAATCCAGTGAATCCTGATCAGACTCCCGATCATATAGCAACAATTAGACACAATTAAAACACAATGAAAAAGGGAAAGCATTTAACTACGTAGCCTACTTACCCATGGTTGAAGCACAAAAAAAAAGTAAATATGACCCATAAACAAAATCCGAGCAACAAAATTAGTCAGGCAAAACACTCCAATCCAGGCATGATATGCAAAATGCTCTCATATAAAGAAAACTAGTGCACATGATGTCATACAACCTAAAATACAGATATATGAGCCTTAATTTAACTGACATCAACTGGTGTGAGCATGTCATATATAACTGTAT